GGCCCCCGGCATCGGAGGCCGCCCGGGGAGCGCTGCGTGGAAGCCCCGCTCTGATGGGCCCTGGCTGCTGCTTTTTGGAGGTTGAGAAGTGCAGCCTCCCAGCCGGGCTGGAGCCCCCACAGCAGCCCCGAAGCAGGGCACAGAGCCCCCAGACCTCCATTTCCAGTTTAGTAGCGGGTTTGGGATCCATCCCCTTTCTCTAGTTCTGTGGTTACAGCTTGCAAAGTTTCTATCAGCTTATGGCTCATAAAGCCGAGCAAGTTGATGCTGTCATTTCAGCTTTATTAAGCAGAATATAGCGGTTATGCGTCCAGTGAAGGTAACACGAGGTGATTTCGCATCCCACTTCCCAGTTGCTTGGCTGCTGAGCCAGCCTGAAAGCTACGGAGATAAACAGCGTCCGTGCTCAGCTGAGCACGGCCTGTTCGGGGACACTGGAGCTGTTGCCATCCGTTAGGCATCAGGTTCCCGTCTTGCCCAAAGCCGGCTGTGGTTGCAGGGGAAGTTGTGGTGCGTCACAGGGGCTGCAAGGAGAAGCCACCTGCAACGTGGCAGGTGGCACCTTCTGCTCCTGGGTCTCTCGTGAGCTGCTGCGGAGACTGAGGTCCACATCCTGTCCACACAGCTCGTTCTGCTGCATCCTGCACTGTGTGAAATGCAAAGTTGGGTAGGGACCTTGCTACCTTTAAAATTGCCCTTTTTTTTTCTTACACCTCTGAATATTTTTTTTCGGGGGTTAAATAAACCCTCTTATGGCATGAAAATGGCAACAGTAGTAACAGAACAGAATCCTTCCAGCTACATCAGAAGACTATGTATAGTAGAACGAAATAGCCCTCTGTATTTAACTGCTTCTGGATTTTGTGACGGTCAATTTTATTGCTACCAGGTGTATTTGAACCTTTGAAGGCTCCATCTATTACATTTTCAAAGGTCCACACTGTAAGCACATCCCTTGATAATCCTGGATCAACAAGCATTACAGCCACTTCTCGCTGCCTATTGGGTGCTGCATAAAAAGATCTAGGAGCAAACACAATAATGTACTAGCCTGTGTTCCTAAAGCCTCACTCTTTGGAAATGCAAACTACAGCCTGTTTCCACTAAGGTACAAAGCACAAGGCTACGTTAAATTTATCATGGTTTAAATGAGAGGTAATCGTTGTATGGCTTCCTCCTCCTAAGAGAGGAAGAGGAGCTAAAGGATGCAGAGGAACAGTGGGTGTACTGAAGAGTAGCTATCTTTGAATGCTGACTGTAGAACTGAAGTTTTGGGTGGGCTGGATTTGTTACTTCTCACAATGCAGTTCAGAATCGAAGTCCAGGAAAAAAAATAGAAAATAACTTTGGTTGCTCAAAAAAAGCACTGCCACAAGACATGGGGCAATAAGACTTTTCTAAATCAGTAGAAGGATAAGGAGAGATAGGATTTACTGTTGTGCTGCTTTATATTATTTAAATATAAATGTATATTTACACACATCAGATCAGATAAAGGAGTCATCAACACAGTTGTATAATCTTCCCTCCCTTTCCTTGGGAATGTTTGAATTTCACTCCCACACTGTATCCTCAAAATACTCTCATTGTTTTAATTTCGTTCTGGACTGGTACTAACAATAGTGCAAATGTTGCTCCATAGGCACAGATGGAGTTTCCATATGTTGCGAGAAACATTAAAGGCATTAACACAGGAGATATCCTGCGCCCCGCCCTCTCAGTACAGCTTACAGAAAGAAAATAGGTAATTCTCGAGGAAAATGTACGTAGCTTGTACTCTGCATAAACATGAAAATTGTAAGACTTGCATGTATCAGTGTGCCGCAAGAATAATTTGCAGCAGCAAGAGTAATTTTTGGTAATTCCTTGGATATGGTTGAAATTCTTAGGTCCTTGAGCACTTGAGTCTTACAGGCACTTGAGTCTTTGCCTTAGCAATTAATGTGCATCTTCTGACGAGCCTAAGCAGGATTTACTGCCCACTGGCCAGTGGGGATGAGAAGGGATAGGTGCAGGGGAAGAAACATGCTCCCTTTGGAGCTGCTTATGGAGTAAAAGGGTGTAAGAGTTTAAGGGTGTAAGGGAAGGAACAGCCATTGTACTGGAATGGTCAGCCTGTGTGCATTTAAAATCTCATGAATAGATCAAAAAGAGCACAGTTAAAAGACTGGATCTTGCATTGTTTTTTGAACACTTACTTTCACAGCTCTTGCCTGTATTTGTAGGACATGCCCCACCTAAAAGCTGAAGGAAGCTGTCCGGTCTGCTGCAGAATACTTCCCTTTCCTGTGTGACTTTTCCTCTCCCGATTCTCTTTTCACAGCAATCAGGACTTTATGAATACAAAATCTATGGTGGTCTTGCCGACTGTCCACCAGAACTGTGTGCAGATGTCTACATGGATTTAGATTTTAGAAAACAATGGGATCAGTATGTTAAAGGTAAGCTGATTAGACAGTTTAAAAGCAAGCTTGACCACACTGGTTCTTCCCACGAACACTTCAAAAATATTTTAAAGCTGCTTTGTCCAAAGGATTTTTGAGCCATACCTGCTTTTCCTTTGAGGTAATGTTGCACTCTGCAAATAAACAAGCTAACACTGACGTGAACAGCTAACATCTAGCTACCATCTTCCTTCTGGAAGCTCTTTCCGTATTGGTTAAAGCATCCAATTGGCCTCACTTGTTACTGCAGCACCTTGCAGCCTGTGGTAGAGTCATTCCTGTGAGTCCTACGTCAAAGTTTGTTAGATGTTCTGTGGAGAAAGAGAGATGCCATCTTTTGTGTATCTTTGCATATGGCAGCAGAGGTTTAAAAACTGAAATGGCTTTTTCAGGTAGGATGGACTGTCTTTTTTGAACATTCAATATATTCAAAAGTTGTTCTGGATACCTTTCAGAATAAGAAATGCGTGAATCAAGGGAGTGATTACTGACTGAGGACTCTTTCAGAGAAATGAATAATTTTTTTTTTTTAAATGTTCAACATTGCCTTTAAAATAGGGAGTTGAATCTGGATATTCTTGTGATGTTAAAACATTTTGAATGTTTCGTTACTGGTGACAAGACAAGGATTCAGCTGATCAGACTCTTAGCCAAAGATGTTACTTGTCATAATGGCAAACAGCTTTCTTGTAGAAAAATGGCCTCTTTTCTATAGATGAAACAAAAGGAGCTGGACTCTAAATGTACAGATACTATTAGTAGATACTAACACAGATACTAGTGTTTGTCAAAGAGGCCATGTTAGCTTAGGCTACTTTGGTAGCTTCAGAATCTGATTTAAGTGTGCTTAAGAGAACTGACTGCTTCAGTTCTTAAACAAATGCTTTCTATTTTTTATAATACCTTTTTAGAGAAGAGAAAGGAAATAGTTGGGGGAAGCTACACCCTTCAACTAAAAGTCAGATAATGTTGCAGAGCTGGCCTTTATATCCTTTATATGACCATGATGTATTCATCTGTAAATTAAAGTACTTGTGCTGATATGCAAAGTTAATGTAAGTTACCTCTTTAAATGTATAAAAATAAGAGTTTACTTTTAGCTTATAAATATATACAACCCAGTCATTCAGTAAGCTGTAGAGATAATGCAGTAGTGATAACCAGCCTTTTCTATGCTTGCTTCTTCCTTCTTTGAAAAAAGGAAAGAAAGCAAAGCTGTAATTCGAAGGTAACAAACCAATGCTCCAGTGACCTCTGGTGGAAACCATCGCGGTTTAGCCTAGTACAACAGTGCTGGAATTACCCTGCATCTTGTACCAGCCCAGCCTGGAGAAGCAGAGAGGTTGTTTTCAGCGGTGACAGCTGATTTCAGGGCACACTAACAGGTCCCAGCTGGGACTGCCTTATGTGGGGAAAGCATCTGCTGCCCGTGGCAGCCTCGATGCTATCTGCTCTGGCCTTCCTTTGCAAGCTTCTTCGTTGATGTGTCAGACTGCACTAACCACCTCAAGCTGCAGCCTGTGTTCCCAGTAGGAACAGGCTGGTCCAGCTTTAAGCAGGAGAGGCTGGTTGGGCTCATGGCCCTCAGCCCCTCGTACTGCCCAGTGCCCTGGCTCCGCTCACTGACTTCCCATGTCCATTATCCCAGTGAGCCCCTTCTTGCTGGCAGAGAAGACAGCTGAGCTGCCTGACAGTGCAAGCTGAATATCTCAAACTGATGATGTGGTTGACAAACTAAATTTTCTCTTTTCTGCCACACTCTTCCTGTCTTATAGGATGAGTCAGTGTCACATTCTAGTGACTGCTGCATCCCTCCTCCCCCTCCTGCAATTCCTCTGTCTTCCAGCTGCATTTCCAGGCCGAGTAAAGGTGGTGCAGCATAGGCGTGTTGGACTGCTATAGCCTGATGTCCTGAATTGCCTACATATACAGCTGGACCTTCCTGATAGCTTTTCAAGACTTCAACCATCCCTCCTGTTAGAACTCTTCAAGCAGTAGGATGCTGTACTTGTCCTAAGTCTATCTTACCCTTGTAAATGATTCCAAGTTAATGACCTGCTTGTGAAAAAGCATATTCTGCTGGTGGTCTAGAATTATCCTGACTTTGCATAGACAAGGAAAACACTTTGGGATGAAAAGGTTTTGAAGGGGTAACAGTCTGAAAGGGAATTTGACTCTGCATTCTCCTGGATTTTTTTTTTTTTTTCATTAATTAGTGCAGTAGCAGCAGAAAACCAAAGGCCTCCTACTCTTGTGCACTTAGTACATCAACAATTACGGAACTTCACCATAGGAAGTTCTTAAATCTACTACCACACCCAGTACTTGCCTATCAATTTGGATATAAAGGTTACTCACACAGTGTGTTTGGCAGGAATATTCTGAACACTTCTCCATGTCCTGTGTGTTGCAGAGGAAATTAATTACATCTGTCTTCCTTTCTCAACTGTAGAACTGTGTGAGAAAACTTATGACGGTGAAAAAATAATCTACTGGGAAGTGAAGTACCCTTTTCCTCTCTCAAACAGAGACGTATCCTTTCACACTTTTTGTTTTTCTTGCAGTTTTTCACCTGGTCATTCAGGAACATTGACAATGTACTGGTCACTGCTGTGCTGTATTTGAGATCTTGCAGTGCTCATGTTACACAAATATGAATAGCATGAGGAAGAGTGTGGTGTTCCTCCTGAAACCTTGCAGAGCAGAATTACTGCTGTGTAGGGCAGGATCCCGTGGAAGCGTAAGAAAGCACTAGAAGGGGCTGGGATTTGTAATGCAATTCCCTTGTCTCAAACTGACACAGTGTTTTGACATGTCTCCTGAACTTGCTATACAGTATGTCTATATTCGTGAGTGCCGAGTGCTGGATGTTGACGGGCGGAAGATCTGGGTTGTGTTAGCTCAGAGTGTGTCTGTTCCTCAGTACCCAGAAAAGCCCGGGATCATCAGAGTTCAAAGCTACAAACAAAGTCTTGCAATTGAAAGTGATGGAAAGACTGGATCTAAAGGTAAGGGGTCAGGAAAGAGTCATTTGGTCAAGGAATGTATTAGCAAAATGCACAAAGAGGGAGACTGAAAAGTTTGAGCAGCATACAGTTACTGTTAAGTGATATGCAGATCACTAGGAGTATTTAAAAATGAATGAAACTTGCTGAAAAATTCAGTGCAATGTTTTACTATTGTAGGAAAATGATTCTTAACAGTTGGCCAGGAAATTGAGGATGAGCTACTGCTCATTTCATTCCCCTGTGGCCCTTCTAATACTTGTTTTACTGCCAATCAGTTGGGTAAAGTTTGATATTAACTGGTAACCTCTTAATTCAGTAAATGATTTATGTAATATGTTTGACAAATTTATAGATGAAAGGGATTGTTGAGAGAGTGACTCCTGACTGAGACGAATCCTTTAAACACAGCCTTATTTCACAAGATGGGTTATGTGAAATGGTTTGGAATAGACTAAATTCGGACTCTTTGAGCTCCCCAAGAGTTAATTGAGAATTAACTCAATACATCTGTACATCTGTACTACAGACTCTATACATCTCTTCCATATGCTTATAGTATATACTTATAGTGTAACACTATATTTATTTGACATTTCATTTTAATACAAGTTGACTTGTATAGAATTCAAGGACAACTGTTGTACTTGATGCTTCAGTCATGCACACTGACAGCTTCTGTCACACAGTGTTAAAGCTTGTACTGAAATGAGCTGGAAATGGTTTCTGGTAACTCTTCTCTCTCCTACCTAGTCTATATGTACTATTTTGATAATCCTGGTGGCATGCTCCCATCGTGGCTGGTCAACTGGGCTGCCAAGGTAAGTAAAGATTGATAGTACAATTGTCTCTCACTAATCTGTCCCTAATATCTACTCTATGTATCAAAATATGCCCCCTGCATGTTGGGTTATTTCTGGAAATGGGTGTATTGGCCCTTCTAGCTCTTATGCAGTCCTGTTTTTAAGACTCCCTATTGTGTGCTCTTTGCACAGTAGTTGTCTTATATTTGTCCTTGGATTTCTCTTGATTAATCATCCATACAGGTAAATTTGTGCAATAAAAACAGCAAATCCATGTTTCCTCTCTCAAGTGAATAGTCTTAACATTTGCAGACTTCAATAAAGCTTTAAAGGAGCATTAAAGGAACAGATTACTGGTTTGTACCATTTCTTAGAATGTTCTGTGTTTGTTTGAGAGCCTTGTACTATATAATAGGGATTATACAGTTTTTCTTAACTACATCATAGAAGAATGACTCTTCTACTTCTCTTTTTACAGAGTGGTGTGCCTGCTTTCTTGAAGGACATGCAAAATGCTTGCCGTAATTATTCCAAGAGCACATAGGCCACATCAAAATTTATTTGGACTTCTAGAGTTATGCAGTTACAGGAATGGCTATCATACAACACACAAGGTAACACCTACCTCTAACACTGGAAATCATTTTGTTTCAGTTGGCTTATGCCTTGAATTTTATTAGGCCTTTGTTTCCATCTCAAACGGAACAGCTAGGAATCAAGGTATTACCAAAGTCAGCTGCCTCCTTTTCAAAGTACTTCATTTTTGTCTCGGCCCCAGCTTTGTGCTGCTTGTCTGTAGCTCACCTAGAGGAATTCCACATCCTCGGACAAGAGATGCCAACAACCTTGCTAGGAAATGATGCCTCAACTAGTCCTGAGCATTGTGTGCGTGTGTTATGCCTGGCCTTGCGAGTTGGCTTCCTACTGAAATACAGTAATGGATTTGCAGTGTCTGGGTGGAAACAGTCTTGTTAACTGGACTGGTCATTCTTGAACTATCTGCCTGCAAAAAATATAAAAGGTAAATTATTTAAAGTTTATGATAGGAACTGGAACTCTGTATTACTAAATTTGAAGCACCTTTGAGTGGGGAATAGAGTGAATGAAGGGTGTGAAGGCCTTAATCTCAGGGATTTGGAATATTCTGCCTCTTTGCTACATCTGATCCTGCTGCTTCTTGTAACTGGGTATCTGTGTTTTGTTAAAGAAGAAATGATTGAAGTGACTGCCTTTGTATGTTGTATCTATGTTGGTTTAAATTAAATTATTATCCTATACACAGAATGCAGTCCTTTTGTTCCACCTCTCATGTTTAAGGCTGGCTGGTGCTTAAGGCTGGGCAAGTCACAATGACAGGCTGACAACATGTGCTGCTTCATTTCTAAAGCCTCTAGGAGAATAACTTGGATTCATGCAAATTTACTAGGATTCCCTGTGCACTGATGCCGCTGCTGCCTGCAGTCCAACCATTTCCCAAGCATCTTTGGGTACCATTACTTAATAGAGTATTATGGTATTACTATGGGGTTGACTGTCAATCCAGTTTAAATTGAATCTGTTAAGCAAATTTCTTCAAGTGGGTGAAGAACACAAACAGCTAGAGAAAATCTGGAACCATCATTTACCTTAATTTTCTGTAATTTCTGCACCCATGCACTTATTGCACCTGCATTTAAATTTTTACTTGTATGTATTTCTAAAATGAACTACAATCCTGTCCTATCAAGAGTATGATGGTGTTTTAATTGAGTATATCAAACCTTAAATTACCGCTCTTTCATTTTTGGCAGTGTTTCCAAACTAAATTTTTGGAGGATAATTCAGAAGCTACTTTTAGCAGTGTGCTAGGTATTTAGGAATTCAAATACCATAACCCTTCAAAAGGATACCAAAATAACTTTGGAACAATCGAATGGGTACAAACTATGTCCTGGAGCAAAGGAGCTCCAGGTAGATTGTTCCAAAAGAAGATAGAAAAGCAAAATGAGTTAATTCAGCCCGAAATAACAGAATTGGAAAAGTGAACAAGTTGAGGAAGGATCTTCCTGGAACATGATGCAAACTAGTGTATTTTTGCAGTGTAAATCTGCTTTAACTTAAAGAGCTGCAAGGTTTACAAAAAGTGCATAGGTAGTAGCTGGGCATATGCATAGGGATGAATCACCTACATGTATGAGGGTTTCCATTCTATTTGATGTTTAATAAAAGCAGCCTTAAACAAGAAGGAGTGAAAATATTTTGTGTTGATAGATTTTTGATCGCACCTTTTGTCATTCTTCTGGAAATCTGTTGTCAAGACACAGCACTGAGATGCTTAGCCTGAGCACTCCAAAGAGGCGAGACTGCTCTACTGTCAGTCATTTCCCAGAGAGAGCACATTAACTGTGTATAACAAATAATATGTGCTGCTTGCTTACATATTCCTATTAAAAGCTATTGTACAGGCAGTTTTTACTGTACTCAACTTTCCAAATTAAAGGTCACATTTAATTGAACATAAACAGTGAAAGTTGATTTCTTTTTTTTTTGCAAGCAACTAACCAGTGATGTGACCTGGACAAGTATCAGATCTTCCTTTGAGTTTGGGTCTCCACTGACATTGCGTATTTATGAAAGCCATTTCATTCAGTTCAAGTATGAACCATTACACCTAATAAAAACTGCTGTAGCCTCCAGTATAGGAGAGGTATCCGATCCAAACCCACTAATCAGACTTTCCATCCATCAGAAAGAATTTGGGATCTGTTGTTGTCACGTAAGCTTCTGTTTTAAAAGCCCAAAGTTTTCAAAAACATTTTCCATGTTATTCACAGAAAGACTTAGTTATGTTTAGAATCATTCACTAACTGATAAAACCTCAAAGCAATTAACTCTATGACCTCCCAGCAAATGGCTTTGCTGTGAGGGAAAGACAGAAAAAAAAAAAAAAAAGAATATAAACTATTTCTCCACATTGCATTTTAATCATTTAAGGCCATTCTCTCCATGTGACCTCCGTGTGAAGCTACTGTATTTGAGTTGGAAGGTAAAGTAAAAGTAACCCAAAAGTAACCCAAAGTCAACACAGTGAATGATGTCAGACAGGCAACTGCAGTAGCACTGCCTCTCAGAAGATGAGGTACAAAGGGAAACACAAGTTGTCTTTGCTCAGGAAACATCTGGCTGATACTCTAATTCTCAAGCAGATCATTGGTTGTTTTATAACTTAGTGGAACAGAAAAGTGTGGGAAGAGAGGGGGATAGACCTCTGAGGCTAGTGCAGCCTGTCAGGCATGTACAAAATGAGAGATGTGAGGAAATCCATTTTACTCCCTTTTGGGATTTGGTTATTGCCAAATTATTGCCTATTTTCTCTAGAACTTATGTGTCTTCCTAGGCATTAAAGGAACTGTGAGTAATTGACAGTTAAATTAATGTTTCATATTCAGCTACGTATTGGAGTTAGGGTTTAAGAGTGGTTTCAGACTGTTGCTGCGCATTTGGAAACCTGATGCGTTTTCTCAGCATGGAAGTCATGTAATTGAGGATGAAGAGCACGAGCCCACAAAGGCAAAATTGCTCAGCCAGCCCATTTACCCTGTGAAAGGCTCATGTGATGCTGTTCAGCTATGCTAAGAAAAATAAACCATTAGAACAATTCAGCAAGAACTCACTTTGAAACTAAAAGGGTCTATTGCCTCTGAGTGTAACAGGCAATCAGTGTTTCTTCCACTGATTTTTTTTTTTCTTGTAATGCTGGGATAAGCTGATCCTTGATAATGTTAAAAGGATGGTACCAGGAACCCCGAAGGACAGGCTTTATCACTGATTAATTAGCCTGATGAATTCACTACCCGGATAAGCACAGATGTCAGGCGATTTAGAAAAATGACTTTAAAAACATTTGGAACAAGTTAGAAAAAGGATAATCAAGTGGTCTAGGAGTTCTTCTAGAGACTTGCAGCAAACAAGAGACAGAATCCCTTGTTAGAGTCCCTGTAAGTACTCTAACTTTCACCACCGCAAACCTGTATTGATTTAGCACTGTTTCACTAAAAGACGTACCAAGCTTCAACAGCACTCTTCACTAGGTAAAATCATTTGAAATTTGCAGTTTCCTGTTTTCTCCAAGTATTTTGCAAGGTAAAAAAACCTCCCATATTGCTCCACCTTTGGCTTGCACAAGACTGCAGTGCACACACAGCACACACACTGCAATACTCAACCCAATGCAGGACAAACACACAGTACTCTGGGGGTAGATTTACTCATCATTCATTCCCTACAGTGGCAAATCAGAAGGCAAACAAACAAGGCTCCTGCTTGAAGTCTCTAGAATGTCCATGTCACTAACAGGCCTTCCCTGGCCTCTACTACAGAGAAAACAAATGAATGAAACATCAGCTAGCGAGGATAATGCAGTCTATTCAGGGTGTGCAGCAGCCATCCACAGAGCGCAGCTGGATCACTGGGGACACCAGAGGAAGCTGCAAATACTGTGGAAGGCTATTCTAATGTCACACGCTTTTTGGTGGGTTAAAAGGACAAATATTGAGCCGTCCACTTGTGATTTCCCTCTCTCAGTTGTTGTTTGCCCGAGGAGGTTGTGTTTTTGTCTCCTCTGCCTCCATTGTCCCATGAACAAAACGCTTTCCCAGATACTAATGAGGTCGGTAACATGTGAAGTGCACAACTAAGCAACATAGTAAATTACATTTTTCCACTCTATGTTTAGACCACACTGAAAATAATATTGGATTCAAATGCAAATATAAAACATTTAAGCTTTTCCCCCCAGCTCATTTTTTCTCCCACTTTTCTATTTTCCTACAACAGCCAGGCAGAAAATAAATCTTCTGACTTTTGGGGGAAAACTGGGACAAGATCACACAAGGCGGTAAACAGTATTTTTACTTCTTTTTGGTGAAACATCTTCTAACTGCTAACAGCCTTTCCACTACTGAAAGGCACCCACTCAGGCTAAAAAAGAGAAAGGTCTTGGATCTTCTGAAGCAAACCTGTCCCCCTTCCTCACGTCTACATGGCACAAACAGCAGTGGAAAACCACTCCCACGTTGAGAATTTTACGTTGGCTCAGCTTCAGCAGCGTTGCTTCTCTCTAAACACAGGAGTTAAAGAATTCCACCTCCCTGCCTCCGTGACCTGCATCAGCTCTGCCTGTGCTGCAAGATTGGTTGTACAGAGTGTGGCAGTTCAGCAACAAAATATGAATCTCTTCACCTGCTTGTGAAACTAACCTCCTATCTCAAGCAAGACAACCCAACCCACCAGTTCTGGTTTGCTCCTTTTGTATTGGAAGGCTGCAGCTGGGAAACCCAAAGGGCCTTGCAGCATGAAAATAAATGTATTAATGATTTTCTCCACTTTTGCTGCAGTAGAGTTTCAAGAGAGCTAAGCACATCCGAACAAGAAACAACATCTTTAATTAATGGGCTTAAGATAGCAAATACTGGTTACCTGAGGAAGCTGGGAATCAAAGGCAGTGTGGTCTGCTGCAGTGGATGATGTTTCCGAATTGGCAGCCCCTTTCCCTCGCAGAATGACCTTGCAGACTAAGGCTGCTGATTCAACTGGCAGAGGCAGCAAGCACAGGATTAATGGCTCTGAAATGGGGCAGAAGGGAAGGAAAACAAAAATAGCCATCCAGAGCAAGGCATGCATGTGAAGTAAACAAGGGCAAACCAGCACCTGGAAAAGGGCAGTAAATAGAGCCTAGCAGTGAGGAAAGACTGCAGGAAACTGGGTACCTGAACACAGGAGAACCAGGAAGGACTATCAAAGCGCTGGGAAGGGGTCCCAGGTCCGGGATAACAAACAAGGGCACTGCTGGGCACACACTGCTTACTCGGCTCTGCAGACTACGACATCAGGGATTTGGGGAAATAGAAGCAATGTGGATGTAATAGAATTCTTTTTTCTTTTATCTGAGAAGTCACCTCAGCATTTTGTTTCCTTTTTCCTGATATTTTCCGGATGTTTCATTGGGGATTGGAAAAAGACCAGAAAAAGAAATTTAAAAAGGTTTTGGTTAAAAAGAAAAGACTTTGCTAAGTGATACTCTTGAAACAAAAATGCTTTTGTCTGTGAAGTAAAAACTGAGGGAGTCATTAAAGAAAGTATTGCTCTATATGTGCCTGCAGCGAGCTGGGAGTATCATTTCCTAAGAGTCGCCCTGATTCAGGTCTACAAGTGAATCCAAGCACTCAGATACCTCAGATATACCCACGTAAATTCTAGTGTAGATATTGTAGACACAGTGTAGACACAGAAACTTGGCCCTGATGTTTCACTGATCTCAATGAATCAGAAACCGCAACAAATTTCCTTCAAAATCTTTTTGACACCCTCCTCACACACACAAACACATATACACATGCAGAACAAGGTTTCGTATCATCCAATATATGACACTTTAAATACTTAGCTTACTTAGATATGGATGCAAGAGTCGAAATACGCTTGAAAAACAACTCAGTACTATGATTCTGCAACTGCAAGTTCTGAATCTTCCCAAAATCATGAAACTCACCAAAATGCTAAGCCCTTGTTCTTACGGGTATTAATTTGAGTCTGCAGCTGCCTGCTGACTTCACATGGGTGAAATCCTATATTACATCACTGGGAATTTTGCTTTGTTTTCCACCCGCCCATTTTTTTTTCAGCTCCTGTTCACTTCCAGGGTGACGAATGAAAGTCATTCTTTTTGTTTAATGAATTTTTCCTAGTCACCATGGGAACAAGATAGCACTTAATTTCATGCTTTTATTTACTACTAATAAAAACACAGTGGCTGAAACGTCTTTTAGTGTTTTAAATGTCTGATGGTAGTTTTTCTTCAAAGCTGCCTAGATGAACTTCATATAAAACATTTCTTCCCTTCCTCCTCAACTTCATCATATAGGTTTTATTTTCCTTTAAGAAAATGATAAATTTGTTTTATCTTTTTTTCCTCTGTTTCTTAAGACCAACCATTAGGGTTAATTCTAATCCAGTCCCACAAGGCAAAGGAGTGAACAGCGCTTAGAAACGTGTCGCATTTTCCAAATCATTTTTCAACAAGCATAGCAAAGATCAAAAGAGATGGTATCCTTCCCTGCTGAAGCAAATCACTGATGGAAGAAAGAGGAAGAACCTACATATAAGTTCTCTTCCAGAGACATGTTTCCAATCGTGCCCTCTTGATTATAAAGATCATTTATTCTCTCAGACTTTTTTTTGTTTGACTTTTTAATTTTATCACTTAAGCATGAGAGTTGGTTTTTTTTCTAGCGACATCTAGCGGTTATAATATAA